CTTATCACATTCACTTAACCTATTGTTATTACTCGTATTACGTAATCCAGTATTCTAATCTTTCTATTACGTCATCTTGGTTATTCGTGTTCACATTTCCTCACGAAACTAGTACCTTAACAAAAAGAATTTTCATATATATATGATTGTATAGCTTGATAAGAAATTCGTTGAAAAGAGATCCCTTCGCTGAACTTCGCGTTTTTTAATTTTTAATATTTAAATATGCATATATAAGGAATTAATTATACAACGGTCACAAATAATGTACAACATTTATTAGCATAAAATAAAACAGTACATTGACAAGTAACATAAATTAATGCATAGTACTATATAAATGAATATATTTTTTTATTAGGTTTATTTATTCATAGACTCAGACATTGTGTACGTGTAACAGTAAAGTTTGAGAATATTTATCATGTATACAAATGTCATCTATTCTAAGATTTTAATGAAGACAACTAGATGAAAACAAGAAATAAAAAATGTTATGATATGTCAATAGTCGAGATCATGAGTCAGTTGAAGCTAGACCTCCATGGAAAACCTGGAAGCGCTGGATGGCTGTTTCGTTCTATTGCGGGACTCCTCAGCAGTGCGCATCCATGACTTTATGATATATATTTTAACACTAAGTCAAACAACATATATAAGCGAACAATCTTGTTTTTAATTAGATCTTTATTAAGCTTTACTCGAATATGCAATAATATTTATATGCTTATATAAAATTATTAAATCAATCAACGCAGTTTATGAGTTAATGATAACAACAGAATAGATTATTTATCATGTTTATTTATGTAATCTATTCCACTGTCATCACTGACTAATAAATTACCTTGGTTGGTTAAATAATTTTGTATATGCATATAATTATTATTGCATACTAGAGTAAATCGGGATGAAAATCTAATTGTGATAGATGTAGACATATAGATCACTTGAAGACTGATATTCAATTTGAAAATCTATCTACCCAGACATAAGGTTTGATACCCTTGACAAAGATCGAACATGAAAGATTCAAGATTATATTGTTTGGTTGTTATAATCAATTTGAAAGCAACAGACATCACACGAAAAATTTATTGACTGATAAACATTGAGAAACTTTCCAGAAACCAATATCAAATAAGCACATTTTTATCACTAAACCAGATGAAGGATTGGGGACTGTAATTCCAAACACGACGGATTGCATAGATAAGATAAATACCCTAATAATCTTGATTCATATAAAATCCTTGATGAAAAGATCGAACGTCAATTAACCACGACATTAAAACTTTTAATACAACAATGCATAGTTGGGTATACCTATAATGAGCTCAAGCCTTCTAGAACACATATCCCTCGACTTTATGGCCTATATAAGGTTCATAAACCAGAGGTTTCTTTGCTTCCACTTCTAGGCATGTCAAACCCACCATATCATTCAACAATAAATGAATTTGTGAGATTATTAGGACCATATAACCAAGACTTGGTTAAAGTACAGTCTTAAAGACGTATTTAAACTTGTGGATACAATAAAAGATATGAATATAAAAGACAAAATTATTTTATCACTAGACATAACATTTTTGTTCACTAACATTCCACTGACAAAAACTATCGATCACATATGTGAATAACTGCTATAAAAGTAAAGGAAGAAACTTATCACAATAAATAAAATGAAGGAGCTTCTGTTGTGATGCACAATGAATATCTACTTTGAGATTAGCAACAAATTTTATGGATAAATAGATGTAGTAGCAATGGGATCACCCCTAGGCTCAATCCTCGCTAGTATTTTCCTAGCCAAAATCAGAAGTGTACTGTTGTACGACATCCTAAGTAAGCTAGATTATCACTGTTGATAAACAGATGACACACTGATCGGTAGAATTTCGGTTAAAAATTATTTTCCGTTACGTTTATTCATTGCTTTAATTGTTCTATCTCCTATTACACTGATATTTTCATTTGACTAGTTAGAGGAATGTTATAACAGATACTGAAGAAAGGTCTTTTATTTTGTCCTTTCGCTGATTTCACATTGAATCTAATCATCTTAAATTTGTGCATATTTCTGTAATTGTTTGCACTTTGTTTAGTAGTCAGTTAGTGAACATTGTTTGACATTGGTTTCGTCTAATGTATATCAGACCAATTAAATTTTCCATTGATAATTTTTAGTCAAGTTCTTAGAAGAGATTTAAATATCATGCTATCATTTTTCCTTAGATCAGTCCAGCCACTTAACTAAAATCTAACCGATCGACGCAATATCAACCAGTTGGTCAGTCAGAATCAAATGGTCTAGTCAATTTGTGAAGTAATATAGTAATCTTCCAACCATGTTGATAGGTAGCAGTTCTGTGAGATCTTAGTGAATCTAGGATAATTTGACCATCTTTCATTCAAATGACATTTAAGCACAATACTCTTTGAGTGACTTAGAATTAAAGCATCATAGATTAGTTATTACCGTGCTGACTGATCAGGATCAGTATTTTTAACCCTCACTGTATACTGAACTCGTCAAATACTGAAATAATATTGCGTTTGAAATATACCTTAGGTTCTACTTGTTGGGGATAATTTACAATCCGATATTTTTTAATTGGCTCGACGTGTTTCGGATATTTCTAGATTTTATGAAATTTTCCGAAACAATTATTGATATTTTCTAACACCACTTGAATGTGAAGTAATATTAAGAAGTAAAATAATATTTTATGCTAATAAACCTCTTCACTTATTTACGGTTGATTATGAACAACGTGAGGATCCTGGTTTTTTTCGTGACTTTATTTATGATATCGGTTTTATGGATATCAATGATCATTTTCAGACAGTATGTGGACCCTATTTATTCTACAAACACTTTGAAATTCAACTAATGTCAAAAGATATATCTTTATAACTACTCGGAATGCTTTAAATAATCAAGTTTTATCAAATTATTTGTAATTAGTTGAGTATCATCCAATCCGTTGCATATTATTTGAGCAAGAACATTTGGAACTTGAAGTATTTTTCGTATCAAACTGTTTCTGGTATTTGTTCTTCATCACACGTTATATATGAATTAGCGGAATAATGAGGGAATCAAGTAGCATTATTTAAGCTAGTGTGACAGTTTGTGTGTATATGTCTACAGTTGAGCTCATAATATTACATTCCGAGTTCTGTTAACAAGTGAATCAGTAGTTTCTATCGAAAAGAATAATTTAGATAAATGTAAGAATAAATGAAATACCTTACTGAATAAGGAAAAGAGAATTCAGTGAAGAAAATTTCCTTCTCGACGAAATTATTTACTTAATCTGTACATTTGTATATATAGTTATCTGGAAAATGTATGTCTATAGGAGGATAGGAAAGATTGCATCACAAAAATGGACTTGAGACCAAATAACAAATGAGGTTACGTACTAATCAAGGGGTAAGGAAGAAAATAGGAATGTTTCTGGGTTGTTTTTTTTCGCATGCTTTTCTGCACTTTTACTTGATTGTTGTTGGATTCTTTTTTAAAATTTATTATTTTGCAATTTTAAACTCATTTATTATTATTACCTTATACAAGTTTTCTTGAGTATTATTCAGTTTAGATTATTCCGACCTTTGTGTTTGTCGTTTTTCTTCATATCTGTCAATTGAACTACTTTCTTCCTTACCCCTTGATTAGTACGTAACCTCATTTGCTATTTAGTCTCAAGTCCATTTTTGTAATGCAATCTTTCCTATCCTCCTATAGACATACATTTTCCAGATAACTATATATACAAATGTACAGATTAAGTAAATAATTTCGTCGAGAAGGAAATTTTCTTCACTAAATTCTCTTTTTCTTATTCAATCATACTATAGGTTATTTTAAATACCTTATTATTGTTTAAAGATTCTATTCCAACAATTTGTTAATAATTTATTTTTAGACGAGGTTTTGTGGAGATTTTGGTAATTTTAATAGTTGAAATCATGAGACAGCCGTCTCATCCTAGCATGAGACTCCTCAGCAGTGCGCATCCACGATCCCAGGACTTATCAGTCTCGCGCGCGAGCGCTTAACCACTAGACTACTGGGCCGACATCTAGCGGTGTTAATTTCTAACTTCAACCAATCCACGAAATTGCGCCACTGTACATCATTGTCTTCAGTCAGCTGCTATCTCATAACAGAACCGGTTAAACTCCACTGGTCACAGCTGCTCACTAGAACTTCAGTCAGTCACTAGTGAGCAGATCATTATTATTAGAACAGCCGTCCAGTGCTTCCAGGTTTTCCATGGTGGTCTAGCTTCAATTGACTCATGATTTCAACTATTGAAATAATTTATTTGAATAATTTTGTAAATATTCCCTTTATAATGAATGTTATTGTCTATTACATCATAAAGACATTTTTTAAAATAGAATATAACGCAATGACTGATTCGAATTCAACATGATGAATATGAATTAAAACTATATTATTCGAATGATCATTAGCAGACATGGATGAATTGTAACTGTTGGAAAAGATCGTATATTTATATCCAATCAAACTATTTATAAAAAGTGTAATTTCACTTGGTATTATTTAATTGTATTTTCCCAATGTTGTTATTTAGAACTACAATTGATAAGCCTCTTGCTGGCATATTTACATCGCGCGAGGATTGCCTCAATATTGCCTTAATTCACAAGCTTTATAAGCAAAAATGGATGTTGGTGAGCAGTGGAATCCAGGACGCGCGTTTCGTCCTCCTTGGGACTCGTCAACTGGATGTACATGCACGTCAGAGTTGATGTTCACTCCGGGACTCAAACCCACTATTGTTCGCTTCAAACGCCATCGCGTTATCCACCTAGCTACTGAGTTCTGATAGCTAAATGCTTGTGCAATGGAGTGAAGTTTATAAAATGGTGTGTAAATAATTCATGGCAATTTAAAATATTCATACATTAAAATGATTGGTAGTATAATTCATAAGAATAAGACTATTCAAGAATAAAAGAACACTAGATCGAATTCTGTAATGTACTGTTAAGCGTATGTTAACAAAAAGAAAAAGAAATTAGATAGGTTAGTCGATTCTTTAATTATTTAATACATATTTATATATATCAATTAGGTTTAAAATATATTTTGAAATATTTAAATTGACATAGTATATATATTTTTTATGCCAAGAATAAACAAGACCCCCATTTCATAAACATAATCTTATTCGAAAAGGAATGCCAATTCTTTCATTTCTTTAGCTTTTGCATCAAGTTTTCCATCATCTGATTTATGTATAACAGGAGGTTGTGATCGAGTCATTAATCTACGCCCAGTCTTTAAATAGAGAACAAACAAAATAGTAAACAAAATAATAAAATTCTATAAATCAGTTTACATAGGTTTTTCTTTTATGCAAAAATCGTTTATTATTTTTTTGTGTTAGTTACCAACATCAAAATTGATATCGTATAGAGATTCTAGTGTGTACTGAGTAGAGAAATAAAAAGTAGTATATTAATCGACAAAGTTATTAACTATATGACTAAACTGTGTCATTTGATTCATGCATTCTTGTTTAGATCTGTGAGATGATTTTAAAGGTTGGTTGATCTATCCAAAAGTTAATCATTATGATGTAGTTTCGTTTAATTGTTCCTATTTTACAATAATCTTAAACTTAATTCTAAGGTATACATTTTTAAAATACAATTTTATTAATACTTTTATCAACCAGACTACTTATTGCTTAGTATTTCTCTGACTTTAATCTTATCAATTTTTTCATCTGGCTAGGCCGGTATAACATGTGTCAACGTGTACTGATATGCATTTATGCAAGGTTTTATTTTGTCTATAATTAACTGTTTTTCAGTTCTAAATGTAAAAAATCGTTATCCATTAGAACAGTAAACATTCAAATGTTGGAATGGTTTTTCTCACAAAAAATTGACCATGAAAGTATTTACAAAAGTAGTATGCCATTCTCAGATTAAAGTGACGGATAATATGATACAACAAAGTGACGTTTCTTTCAATAACTAAAAAACGGTAATTCTAGAAAATCTATATGATAATCTTTGAAACGATCTATCTTTATAACTAAATGATTATAAACAAAATACCTAGTTCTCATTCTGTCAATTATTTATTTAATTATATGAAAACAACACGTGTAATTTAATCACTTCATCGATAATAGTATGAAATATAGATCAGTTTTGTGTGTTTCATTAGTGAAATACATAATGGCAGCTGATTCGTCATTATGAATTATAGTATTCTGACGATTATGAATGGTTGCTTACAAGAAGTACAAAAAATTCAGTAATTAAATACAGGATTTTATATTGATTGATTGCAAATTAGTAACCAACGTTATTTTTTCCCTTGTTTTTAGTATTGGTGGGATTCTACGAATCAAACTGAAATACGACTATTAGTCTAAGTAGCATGATGTTCCGTGCACTATATTTTACTGTTAGGTGATCGGGGCCAGTCATCCAGAAAACCTTTGGCTTTAGGATTAGGAGAGCTGACACTTTCTGTCATTCTTAAGCATACATCGCCCATCAATATAGTCTAAAATGTTACAACTGAACTATTTGAGCCACGAAAAAGACAAGGGACTATGAGAATATTGCACGATTTAGACAAATAGAATCTGACTTCGCTTCTGGATTACATCACGTTAGTCAGGTAACCACAAGGCACTTAGTTTAATCATGTTTGAAGTCAGATGAGCAGTTATTATGTGGCTCAAACTAAGAAAAAACTCATGTTTTGAATTATTTCATGTATAACTCCATGGTTAAAGTCGTCTCAAGACATTTACAATAATAATAATAATAATCCAAGTTATTTATTCGTTACTTGTTTTTTCGGTGCAGCTTTAGCACGTTCTAATGCTTTTTGTATACGTTCCTCTTGATATAAACGCTGTTGATACTTTTTATCCTCTTTAATTTGTTGCCTATGTTCAATTTCTTTAGCTTGTTTTACTTCATTAACTTCATCTTCAGGTAAAGTTTGTAGTATTTCAAGTAAATCAGTCAGTTTCACTTCAATTTCATATAACATTTGTATTGAACTAAAAATATATAAATAAATAAAAAAATAAACTAGACAATAAGAAATAGAAAAGATGAAAAATAAACGAAATAGTCTAAATAAATTCTCTGTTTAATACTCTGACCAATTATTTTTTTAGTTCAATGATCAACAGAAGTTGAACTCAAAGATAAATAGTTTTTTAGTGATGAATTACACTTTAAAAAAATAAATAGTTTTATAAATATTTTACATTTATTTTGGTTAATTATAATTATATAATATTATTTGATAGTACATGTTGTGGTAATAATGCTATCTTGGTAATCCACTATACATTTGTTCTACTTGAATATCTTCCCCTGTACTGAACTAGGAAAATTTATCTTTGAAAGACCAAAAACAATTGATACTTTCAGTGTAGATCGTTGTTAAATAAAAATAGAATCTGGTTAAGTCCACTTGTCATTAGTGTGTTGAAGCCGTTTAGTTTGACATTTCATAAAATCTACCATACATCAATCTAAACTTAATCTTTTTTTAATTAAATTGAATATTTTTCTCTCATCTAAATTAGAAGAAATATGTAGTATTTATTATTACTTTGTTGACTAACTATTCCAATCTTTACCTCAACTTAATACCATTTAAAAAATATAAAAATAATTCCAGACTTCTGGGTTTTTTATCATTTCACAGACCAATATAGATTAGACGAGGTTTACACACTTTTGACATGCATCTGTCAATATTTAAATCACTGATTAAATTTGTAGATTGACAACAACAAAGCAAGGTACTTCATGAGGTCCCCGATACATGATATGAATAATCGAAGTATAACTAGAGGTGTTCTGACTACAGTTATTAACTATAAGTTAACCACAATAAGTAATAAAGAATTTCAAACTGGTATGAAAATCTTGTGAATATTATAATCCTAACTTTCGTTCATATATAGTTTTGCATTATCCTAGAAACTCAGGATTTTATTAAGTTATTTAAATAAAATAGGTTTGAGGTCTTACAGTGATTAGAAGATACATAGATAACACCGATTCTAGTACTTAAATTCATCAACGAGAAAATAAATACCGTTGGAAATAAATTCATACTATTTGAACTGGATAGTCGATACCTAAACTAAGTAGATAATTGAATAATGCATTGGCATTTAAATCGACAGTTTCTGGGTTCGAGTCTTACTATAAAAATCAACACTGAGATCTACGTATATCCATTAAATGAGCTCTGTATACGATGAGACGCGTGTGCTGGATTCTACCCCTATCTATAATCCAGCTTTACATAAATATTGATTATTGTCTTTAATATAATAAACTTGGACATCAATATTAAATACCATGATAAACTAGATAGCTATTACCATAAATCCTTGTATTTATGGTGAATTATATCTAAAAGTTACACAACATTAATAATAATGATTACTACCTTAAAGGTGTATCTGATTTTCTTATTGTATCACGATACACTTCTGTAATAATCTCATGTAAATCATTTAGAACTAACTTCTGTTGTTCTGAATTATAACCGGCAAATAAAAAATCACTAAAACAAATCGAAAATGAAAGAAAAAGGTGGATTATTGTAAATCATCACAATGAACTATTAATTTAAAATGTTTAGTATAAATGGAATAATGCACAATCTTGGAATATAGTGACTGTTACCATTAAAATTTCGATAAAATTCTGTGAAGCTTTATGATATGTACAAGAGTATTTTCTGAGATAAATATTCCTATTTAGCAGGCTAACACTTTTCTTGTATATATATATATATATATATATATATATATATATATATATATATATATATATATAGTTGGTTCAAGTCTTCTAAATGTTTACATATTTTTTATCATCGTCGTTTTCATCATCACTCCTCATGAATTCATTTCATTCATATGAGCATGAACGGATAATCACCTTTAGTGTAAGTGTAATTTCGACTGGATTTGATGAAATACAATTTTTAATTTTATTTAGGTCTGAATAAATCCTTTCAATAGAGCTTTTTTCAAAACAAACAAAAAAATAAAATAGCTTGTATTTCTCAATCTATTATCTGATAAGAAAAAAATAATCGTAGTACGATAAAACTAGAAGATAATCCTCAATATTAAGGACGAATGACTGATGAAAGAAATTATGAATGGGTTATATCTTTTCAAATATTATTCACGAAAGTCTATAATTTGCACATGCATTTTATAATATAAGGATAATTCACACCAAGGGTCAAAAACTGTAGAGTAATGAACAGTTGTTTCGTCCTAGTGTGAGACTCTTCAGTAATATTTATCTCGGACTATTTGTGCGATTGAATAAAAAAATATGCAGGTTTCAAGGCGAGGAATTTATCCATAGACCACTCAGTCAACACTCAGTGATGCGATGCTAGGATAAAATTATTATTTGTCGCTCACTGGTTTACAATGTCTTCATAAACTGAATTCAGTCGATGATGCAAACAATCTCTAAATTGAAAACTGCCACATCCTTTGCATTCCATTATCGTGGTTACTTATCATGAGATTCTAGCTTTTATTTATATCCAACTATTTAATAACTGGAAAGATAACTTTACATTATATGATAAATTATATCTTCTGCTGTAAATTGCTGGAATTTATACCACCTTTATCCAACTTTTAAGCCTAAAAATATAGAATTTTTTTGTTTTTCTGTCTAATTAGCGTCATTGGCTAATTAATAGATGAATTGAGCTACTTCAGTATCTGATGGCGCTCGTGACAAAATGACTAATTGCTTTTTAGTACCAGAATTGATATGCATGTTAAAATGTATCATTCTTTGATTTCATTTTAGCTAGGTATAGAAATAAATAGAGGCAAAAACATTTTGTCCTCATTATGTTCTATGTCATGATGGCATTGAACTGTCTGACGGCGAAATTATCAGGTAGTTGAAGTAACTGCATGGATGATTCACTCATGGAATTACGATCTAAATTCCAGATCAATAGATCTATAGGAAATGGAACCATTGACTAGAGGACTTGATACGCTTTACGAAGTTAAAAATGATAACTGTATACAATGTATACACCAATTGGTATGAATTCGAAGTATTTATCAGATGACGGATTATTATCCAATGATAAAAATGCAGTTCATAAAATAATCTATCAGGCTTCCATTCTACCGTGGTCATATCAGACGGTTTGCTAAACACCAAGACTTTCATAAATAAAATTCTCTTTCATGATTTCTTTCAACTTTTAGAAATATTCAATTTCTCAGGGTTTCAGATTACTGTATTATATATATTCCTCTTAGTGAAGTATTGTCTGTATGGTTTAAGTATTTTACTCTCAACCTTTTCAGTTTTCATTGTGGAACTCGTCTATACTTACTGTATTTAAAGGTAAATCAATCAAGCAATATACATGATTCAGAGAAAATCGAATATCTAAACTTGTAGCTATTTATTGACTTTCAGAATTATTTATCTATCGTTAATTACCGTATTCAAAATAATTCTCATCGGACAATAGTTTTTTTGGCGAGATCAATGGGGATCTTTCCTTCCTCTTCAGATGAATAACTAAATAATTCTTCGTTGCGAATTAAAAATATCAATCTTTTTGTAATTATAATGCATATAAAATTTTCTCATTCTCTTTTCACAGTCAAACAAGCTTGACAGTTTGCAGCCTCATATGATAATTTGTCCAAAAATTGCCACATCTGAAGAGAGAATTTAGAGTGGAACCAAAAATGGGTTTGTCAGTAAGAATGAAATTCATTGGTCGAGTTAGATAAAGCGTATTGATCACAGTCATTCTGTCATACTGATAGATACATCAGTTACATTGTCATTAAAAAATTTTATACTTGTGCCAACAATTAGGTTATCACTGAAAACTACAGTGCACTGATTCATCTTAGTATGGGACTTCTCAACAGTGTGCATTCAAGAATCTAATACAGGAACTTCTCGGTGCTTGACCATTAGACAACTGAGTTAGCATTTACTTGTGCATACTTCTAAATTCAATCGGTTCGCTATATAGCATAAGAATTATTTAGCTAAAATCAGTCGGTGACGAATACCATCTACAATTTAAATTAATCCCCACAAAATGCCATTAATAAATGATAACAGTCAGAAAAAATAATGTCATTTTACCAATTCAAATATTGAATATTCCCTTGTTGGCAAAAATTAGTCAATAATCAAATAATATATAATTTCAATCTGAAACTAACCTCATACTTAAACTGAAATACTGAGTCTTGTTTTGTTCTGCATCAATAGCACCTTTAAGAAATGTCTGGTGTTGTGATAAAATGTGTATATCTTTCTCACTAAAATAAAAAACAATATAAACATTCACGCATATGAAATAGTAAACAAGATTATTAACTAGTCAGTCACTGGAGCACGTTTTGACATTAAGAATCTTCCCTTAAGTGATTCTCAGCTGATTAATCTCCGACTGTAACTTGAGTTATAATCCCACGAGGGATGTCAGTTCTCTTCAGATTGGAAAGAACCCTGACAATTGAAGGTTAGTTAGGAAGAAATCTGGATTCAAAGTTTTTCTGATTACTTCCAAACCACGTAACATCAGATGAAATGCTCCACTATATGAAGTCATTTAACCACCAATGGCCTTGTGACAGCCTGTTGAAAAGATCTTGACTTATATTGATGGCTTAAAAACATAATATTGATTATCTTTGGAATTATCAATTCTTCTGTCTCAATATGATTACTTTTATGATGTAAATATTGCGGGAAATTTCATTTTATTCGGTAATGTTCTTTTCTATACACTATTATTTGCAAAACAACTTACTAATTATCCACAGTTTCATTCACCTGATTACGTAATATTTCAACTGAATCATCTGACTCTTGACAGTGTTGAATTAAACGTAGATTTGTCTCTTCTAAGTCACGTAAGATAGTTAATATTTGAATTGGATCCTTAAAGTAAACTTCTTCATCCTATGAAAAACGAAGAAATTGCATACATTCTAAAATTAAGCAATACTAATCATTAATTTCGATGAGACTTCGTAATCTGTAACTTTTTCGTTCTCATTTGAAACTTCTTAGCAGTGTTCATTTACAGATTAGAGTTTAAACAACTACTGAATTCTAGAATTAGATGTTGACTCTGATAAGTCACTTGATGAGCGAATTCGAACTATTAAAGTTCTAAATAGTGGTCCACATTGGAAGATGCGGAAATCTTGAGTTTGATCTTAAATGAGGTAGGAGGTGGATGCTATTGATGAATCTCAAATTAAGATGAAACGACATTTTAATACCAGACAAAAGTTTTGGGAAAAAATTAACAAAGAATTATTAAAATCCAAAGATAAATGACCAAAAATTGTCAACTTTAAAAGAAAATATATATATTCACTGTTTTAAATCGAATCGACTGAAGTGATTGCATTAATTAACTGTTATCGTGATCTATCAGATTTAATAATTATAATTTGAGGGACTCAATTTAATGTAGAAACCGTTGGAGATTTTGATCGACGTAGCATTGATGCTGTCCAAACAAGCGCGAAATGCACTTATAGGATGGGAATCTCATGGACCAAGGATCATCAAAGCCTCGTTTAAAACAAAGAAAGAGGGCATTTCAATTAACATCATCCAATGCTATGCGCCTACCAACGACTACAATGAAGACGCTAAAGATCAATTCTACAATAGGCTGCAGTCAATCGTCGAGAAGTGCCCAACAAAGGACCTGACCATTCTGATGGGAGATTTCAACGCCAAGGTTGGAACGGACAACACTGGATATGAAGACATCATGGGACGACACGGACTGGGAGAAAGAAACGAAAATGGTGAGAGATTTGCAAATCTATGTGCCTTCAATAAACTGGTCATAGGCGGCACCATATTCCCACATAAACGCATACACAAAACCACATGGACTTCACCGGATCACTCTACACAAAACCAAATCGACCATATTTGCATCAACAAAACGTTCAGGAGGACTATAGAGGACGTGAGAACCAAGAGAGGAGCTGATATAGCATCAGATCATCACTTACTGGTCGCCCAGATGAAATTGAAACTCAAGAAGCACTGGACAACGGGGCAGACAGTATCACAAAAGTTCAATACGGCCTTTCTTCAGGATACTAACAAACTCAACAAATTCAAGATAGTCCTCAGCAACAAGTTCCAGGCCTTTCATGATCTACTCAATGGAGAAGGAACTACTGTGGAGAGCAACTGGAAGGGGATCAAAGAGGCAATCACCTCAACATGTCATGAGGTCCTGGGTCACAAGAAGCACCACCACAAGGAATGGATCACTGTTGGTACACTGGATAAGATTCAAGAAAGGAGGAACAAGAAGGCAGCGATCAATACCAGCCGAACAAGAGCAGAAAAAGCCAAGGCACAAGCTGAATACACGGAAATAAACAAACAAGTGAAGAGGAGCATCAGAACCGACAAACGTAAATATGTGGAAGATTTAGCAACGACGGCGGAAAAGGCTGCAAGAGAAGGAAACATGAGACAATTGTATGACACGACAAAGAAACTCTCTGGAAATCGCCGCAAACCAGAACGACCAGTGAAAAGCAAGGAAGGCAAGGTAATCACCCACATTGAAGAGCAACAAAACAGGTGGGTAGAACACTTCAAAGAACTCTTGAATCGACCAGCTCCACTGAACCCACCCAACATCGAAGCAGCACCCACGGACATCCCAATCAATGTTGGCCCACCAACAATTGAAGAAATCAGCATAGCCATCAGACAAATCAAGAGTGGCAAAGCAGCAGGACCGGACAACATCCCAGCAGAGGCACTAAAGACAGACGTAGCGGCAACTGCAAGGATACTCCACATTCTCTTCAATAAGATTTGGGATGAGGAACAAGTACCAACAGACTGGAAAGAAGGACTTCTGATCAAAATACCGAAGAAAGGCGATCTCAGCAACTGTGATAACTACAGGGGCATCACTCTTCTCTCAATACCGGGAAAAGTTTTCAACAGGGTATTGTTAAACAGGATGAAGGACTGCGTAGACGCCCAACTTCGTAACCAACAGGCAGGATTCCGTAAGGATAGATCGTGTACAGACCAAATCGCAACTCTACGGATCATTGTGGAACAATCAATTGAATGGAATTCATCACTCTACATCATTGACTACGAAAAGGCATTTGATAGCGTGGACAGAACAACACTATGGAAACTTCTTCGACACTACGGCGTGCCTCAGAAGATAGTCAATATCATACAGAACTCATATGATGGATTACACTGCAAAATCTTGCATGGAGGACAGTTGACAAAGTCGTTCGAAGTGAAGACCGGTGTTAGGCAAGGTTGCTTACTCTCACCCTATCTCTTTCTCCCGGTGATCGACTGGATCATGAAGACGTAAACGTCTGAAGGGAAGCGCGGGATACAATGGATATCTAAGATGCAGTTGGATGATCTAGACTTCGCAGACGATCTGGCCCTTCTATCCCAAACGCAACAACAGATGCAGGAGAAGACAAACAGTGTGGCAGCAGCCTCAGCAGCAATAGGTCTCAATATACACAAAGGGAAAAGCGAGATTCTTCGATACAACACAGAATGCACCAACCCAATCACAATTGACGGAGAAGATTTGGAAGATGTAAAAACCTTTACGTATTTGGGCAGCATCATTGATGAACAGGGTGGATCTGATGCAGATGTGAAGGCGCGGATCGGCAAAGCAAGAGCAGCATATTTACAACTGAGGAACATCTGGAACTCAAAGCAACTGTCAACTAATACCAAGGTCAGGATTTTCAATACAAATGTCAAGACAGTTCTACTGTATGGGGCAGAAACCTGGAGAACTACAAAAACCATCATCCAGAAAATACAGGTGTTTATTAACACTTGTCTACGCAAAATACTTCAGATCCATTGGCCGGACACTATTAGCAACAACGTACTGTGGGAGAGAACAAACCAGATCACAGTGGAGAAAGAAATCAGGAAGAAGCGCTGGAAGTGGATAGGACACACATTGAGGAAAGCACCCAACTGCGTCACAAGACAAGCCCTCACATGGAATCCTGAAGGCCAAAAGAGGAGAGGAAGACCAAAGAACACATTACGCAGGGAAATGGTAATAGACATGAGAAAAATGAACAAGATTTGGATGGAACTAGAAAAGAAGGCCCAGGACAGAGTGGGTTGGAGAATGCTGGTCAGCGGCCTATGCTCCATTGGGAGTAACAGGCGTAAGTAAGTAAGTAAGTAAGTAAGTAAGTAAGTAAGTAAGTAAGTAAGTAAGTAAGTAAGTAAGTAAGTAAGTAAGTAAGTAAGTAAGTAAGTAAGTAAGTAAGTAAGTAAGTAAGTAAGTAAGTAAGTAAGTAAGTAAGTAAGTAATAATCGCATCAATTATTTTCTTCAATATCACACGTTTGATTACAGTGGAAAATGTACAAAACAAAATATATAAAATTGCAACGAAATTGCTGTTTTATAAATGATTAACTTGTAAAGATTCTAGAAAAGAATAGATTATATATATATATATATATATATATATATATATATATATATATATATATATAGGTTCGCTCCTATTTATATTCATCTAAAAAGCTTTACATCATTTTCGCTCTTATTGTAATAAACGAAGATTTGGTTAGTGCAAATTAATTCATTCTATTGAGCAAATCTACACACTGAATTTGTAAAACATAAACACAGTATATTGAATACACTGTTTGCAGATGTTCCTTGAATTGTTTCTTCCAAACTCCATCGTTCTTTTATTCCTGTTGCTAACTGAGCTGCTTCTGTTTTTCTTTCTCTTCTCCTCATGTTCCTTTTCTGTCAGTGGGAATCCCACTTCCCAAAACTTGATACATACTACTTCGCATTAGTAGCACATACCACACTATGACATTAGTTTTCACTGTCAGGTATAAATTTTATAGTAATTGCCTCTCGTTACTTCAGAAGAAAAGAAGATGAAATTATATAAAAAAAACGGTGTTAGTATTTATTGAGTCCCTCGGTAATCAGATTTACCATAAGTTTCAAACATTTCATAAAAGCATAAGTACACTGCATTGGCAGATATATTTGATTCAGTGGAACAAATCTCAAATACAAGGAAATCCATTACAGTAAATAAACTTTAGCAAAATGGTGGTCCAAAAGTTCTAACAGGCCACTGTGGTGTTCTTAATGATTGCACACATTTCTCTTTGTAAATTATCTCCTAATTCAGCAAATAAGTTGTCTATATCTAAAATTATAAATTTTCATGAGTACTAAAGAATTTCTTACTTGATGAAATATTTGGATTAACTTCATTTAAGTCTTCATTTAAATAAATTATCATACATCTATTCAAGCAAACAGCAATAAATCTGTACTGAAAATTCAACTTTTAACCTGTTAATCAATGGCAAAGTTCACCACTATTTGAAATCGATTAAACTGAGTAACTATAATGGTCCCATTAATCATTCAACTCTACTTATCACATTTGTAAGAGAAATTTTGATAAGTTAATCTTTCCGTTGAATAACTGCACTGCACTATATGTTAACACAATTTGAAAAATATGATCACTCTTTAGTTTTGATTGGCAATTGAATGTTAAAATGTTTAGGGTAAATCACTTGGGATGTTAAAGTACATATTGTATGAATATCTGATTGTTCACTAATCTTCATTAGTTATTTCACCTTGAAATCACACACTCCATGATAACAATAATTTATAAAAAAACGTCTTAGTTAAGTAGAGAATACAAAAAATATCAAAACAAACCTACACTGTCTTCACTACTAGAACTTTCATACGGTGTAATTTGTCTTGAAAGTTTCGACTCCACTGATAATGTTCTAGTCAAGTGAGAGAGATTTTAAAAAATTAACAGATTTTATCCATCCAACAATCACTATTAAACTAAGAATTAATAGATAACCATTCAAACTTGAATGAACACGGAATGAAAACTTACTGGAATTTGAAATGATACTGAACTAAAAGATTTATCACTTATGCTGAAGTAAGATCTATTTTTGTCTTTGACAATGTATAAAAAGAAAATATAAAATAATGTTTTCATTACAAAGATGTAGAATTGACAATAAACTATTTAGTTATAAAGTTACGATTGAGGGTAGATAGACAAATCTAACAGTACTTCATACAACAAACAGAAGTTAAAACACATTCCAATATGTAAACTTTATTCAACTTGGTTAGGTACTATTTAAGATTTGAAGATAAGTAATTTTGGATGATCGTATTTGGTTTTGGGTGACAGTCATCTTATTTTGCTTGTTGTCTTGTAGATTTTGTAATATCGACTAGAAAGTTATTTATTTTAGTTGTTCATTGAATGCCCAAAATCATCACAAATAAGTCTTCTATGAAGATAAAAAGCTAAGGTGGGAGTAGAGATCAAGACTTAAGTATGGGGGCGAACTTGAAAAACTCGAAGACTAGTCTTCACTGAACTTGTTTCCATTTTGAGTCAATCAAAAGGCATATGATGAATATAATTACTTTTTTGTAAAAGAAATAAAAAAACCAAGTAAAGTTATAATCCATGTAACACTTTTTTTGAAATTACTTATCTCTTATGGATATTTAAAGTTTTAGAGTTTTGAAACCGAAAAATTTATCGTAGATGAATCCATTCATATGACTAATTCTCATAACTGTTTTGTTTACATCTAAAGTCCTACCTCGTCCATTCAGAGATAACATTTTCCAAATTGTGATTTCTGAGCACACTTTACCACAATGAGGATATCACTGAATCGTTGTGACTTCCTTTACATTAAAAATAGTTTCACAATCTAAGTGTCACTTTACAAAGAGTAAGGAAGGGAATCAGTTTTTATACTTTTTATCTGAATGTAGGTGGCATAGAAATAAAATACATGTACCTTAAGATCCCACTGGTCTAATTTTTCCATCACATTCACATAAATTAGTTTTCCGAAGCCGTCCCTTCTCGTCTAAATACATTATGACTATTTTGTTTCCCTTCTAGGGTTACTGCCACTCACAGGTCCGGATAAGGGGGGATTGGGCATCGGGTCACCAATCCCATCCCAGAGAAGACAACTTAGTGGAAAAAAGGACGCTAACCAGAACCGTATTGTTTCCAGAACTATAACCTTTATCTCCAAGCCACTTTCTAAAACATTATTGCTAAGTTCCTGTTCTTTTTATGATCAATACTATTTTGACCTTGTCAGTTAATCGCTTAAAATTCTGACTGTTATCATATGCACTTATATGTACGTTCATCACTCAATCCATTGCATGTATAGTTTAGTGTCCGGTCCGACTGGAAGAACTGAGTCACAGTTTATAAAATGGAGTGGGCACGCTTGCCATCTCTGCTTCTCTTATCCGTCCCTTATCTTAATATCTGAGTGGATGAAATAAATTCGTCCAACTTAATTCGTATTTGGTCATCTTTACTACTGTGTCACAAACAAGGTTAGCCTAAATAGAATACAAAACCAAACGGATATTTTATGTTCAGGGCTAATCATTCGTTTGTTCGTTCATAATGGAATCAGATTGAGGGCCTGTACTGAGAATGTATAAAGAAATTATATTTGGTTAAACTGTTTCCTTGATGTTACAGATATGAAATATTTGTCGAATATCACTTGTCGAAATGTTTTCACTTAGACTTTCAGTCATTATAAGCCTCACTACAAATGTAGATATATCCTTCTGTTTTTATAAAATCAGTCATATTAAAATACTATTAATTAATTAAAGTTTGTATATTTGTAATCTGTACTTTGTATGCATGTATAAATATTGACGTACTTATTTGTTGTTGGTCTCAATGATGATCGTTTAGTAATGACAAATGATGGTCTTCGTACTGAATTTTCATTTGAAGCTAGTTTTTAAAGAAAATTACAAATTTCTGAATTTTATTTACAAAAAGGCTTTTTAGTTGTATCGTACTCAATAATCGTCAATAAGAGATTCCTAAAAATCTACTAATTATTAAGAAATATCATTCTAAAATTTAATGGAAATGTACAGATACGTCAAAAAAGACTTAATTTCACTGATAATACTCGTAATATGGCAAACAGTTTAGACATTACCAACATTGGATGCCGGCTCAGTAGTCTACAGGTTAAGCGTTCGCGCGCGAGACCGAAGGTCCTGGATTCGAATCCCATGTGAGGGATCGTCGGAGTGCATTGCTGAGAATTATCATTCTAGGACGAAATGGCCGTCTAGTGCTTCCAGGTTTCCCACAGCAGTCTAGCTCTAATCGACTCATGAATTCAACTATCAAATTACTACTATTTCCACGAAAACCTCAATCCCATAATAAACTATTTATTTACAAAACTTTTCAAATGGCCTGGTATGCTTAGCTAGAAATTCCATGATGTAAACAGTCCTTATACCTTAACGTAAGGGACTGTAGGAAATAGGACAATTGGTGTACTAATTGAAATATATTTTATGATCAAAATTTTATCTTGTCAGCAAAATATTCAGCTATGGTTTTGTGACGCCTCAGACAACAAATGATTTAGAACTAGTCACATCGAAGGTTGGAAGATAATCTATAATATCTTATGGTAGTAATTAGATAGTGAACGGACAATCATATAGGAAAGACCAATTTACCAATAAGAACTTTCGTCTAAATTTGAACGAATAGTTTCACAATATTTGGGCGCCGAGTTAATTTGAGACATTAAAAAGAAGAATATATTTGTAAAATCTCAGCGAATGAATTTTAAGTAAATCCAACGTTTCGTCTGGCAATCTGGTCCAAGCTTTATCAAGGAAAATATAATCAAACAACGAAATTATCGAATATACTGAATATGTTGATGTTCTCAACCTTCTGCTGCCAGGCATTTCACTTCTGATTGGTGTTACATACTACTTACGTCTGTCGACACAAGTAGCATACGCCCCAATTCAACCAAAATGAATCAAATGATTAGCTTTTTTATGATGAATATTATAATTGAACAATGATTTGGTAGTGTTTAGCCATCAGTGCGAATAATATCGGTTTATAATTTTTATCTGTTGTAAAACAAGTCTGATGATTATTACTCGATATTCTAATGAACTTTATTTGTATATCTTGAAACTAAGAAAACAACGCTCTGCTTTAAATCGATTCTCCGGGATCAAGTAGAACTATAAGCCTATTGGAACTATCACAGAAAAGCATTTTTTTAATGAAATGTTCTTAACAAAATAAGTACTAATTTGTTATAATTTAATATTGTTTATTGCTCTGAAAATATGGCGACTGAACAGAATCGTAAATAGTAAATTATGTAAGACTACTTTATAACAAAACCTTCCAGTTACTTGTTAAGTGGTACAATGCTATTTAGAGATCTTAAATTAGTTGGTAAAGTTGTGAACTTTATTCTGATTAGGCGACTTAAACATCTATACGTTAGAGATTGGGATATTAGACCTATTGAAGTTAGACCACCATTGAGAACCTGGAAGCACTGGATGGCCGTTTCGTCTTATTGTGGGACTCCTCAGTAGTGCCCATCCATGATATTGCACGTGGGACTCGAACCCAGAGGCCTCAGTTACATGTGCGAGCGCTTAATCTAGTTGACCACTGAGTCAGTGTCCAATAGTGTTAATGTCTAACCTCAACCAATCCACAAAATTGTGCAACCATCTTCCATTGTACTGAGGTAGATACCTGACTCTACTCGACACAGAATAACTCCACTGGTCACGGCTTCTCACTAGAACTCCGAGAATTCCCTTACGAAGTTAGTCACTAGTGAGCACATGGTAATTATCAGTATAGGGTTGTGAAAATTATTAAGTTATTGATTGAGACCTTAAACCGACTGATGTTAGACCACCATTGATACAGGTATCTACCTCAGTACAATGGAAGATGGTCGCACAATTTCGTGGATTGGTTTGGGTTAGACATTAACACCGTTGAAAACCGGCTCAGTGGTCAAGTAGGTTAGGCGTTCGCGCTTCCAGGTTTTCAATGGTGGTCTAACACCAATCGGTTCAAGATCTCAACCAATAACTTAATAATCTCCACAACCCTATACTGATCTATACGTTAGTCAAATAGAACCCTGATGTTATTTGCTTAGTCAATGCTGAAACTTGAATAGGTTGGCTAGTCCGTTTATAAACAATCAGCACTAACAGACAAAATGAAGATCGCACTGGAGATTCCTTAAGCGAATTCGAAATAAACACATACTTTATTTATTGTTGATTGTTGTTCTGACTCATCCTTGCTCTGATTTGTGTCAAACTATTTATTTATTTATTTGAACACATACATATTGGTACAAGAGTGCGCCAAATATATATGCGTCAAACTAAGTAAATGACAGTAATAAAAAATAACTAGGCAATAAAATATGTAATAATGTCACTTAAGTTCAACCTTTTAATAGTGTGAAATTCCATGTTGGCCAATGTTACGGTTGATTGGAAGAAGTGGGAGTAAACAAAATACATTCGAAATGCAACCATAAGTTTGTTGAATATCGACCTTAGTTCTGTAGTGGGGTATGAAGGCTATAGTATTCATCCACGCCATAATCGTAATTTATTGTTACTTGGCTTGGTTAACATAGCTCAAGATCAGTGAGTAGTTTATTACAAATAAATAACTCCCTATCTTTCTTTTTTTTACCAAAATATTGTTTAAACTTGTTTATCCTCATTTCCCTTGCCAATATCCTTTCAGTATAATGTAAAATAACCCCTCCTCTAACTCTTCTAGGGTTACTGCCTGTCCTAGGTCTGGATGAGAGAGGAGGATTAAACACAGGGTCACTGACCAAATCACGTAGAAAACAACCTTGGTAAAAAAACGCTCAATAGAATAAACAATTTAAACCATCTAAACTCTGCTCTCCGAGTTAAAGGAAAAATTATGACGCCTCATAATGAACGTCGAGATTCTTCGGAAGTCACGAGGTCGATGACCCTCTAAAAATCAGACCAACAATTAATATAGCTACATGGAATGTTCGGACAATGTGGGAGACCAGAAGGACCAGTCAAATAACTAAGAAATGAGGAGATACGACATAGAGGTGCTCAGAATCAGCAAAACATATTGGACCCAAACTGAACAGAAAAGGTTAGATTCAGGAGAGATGTTGTTGTACTCCAGTCACGAAGAGAGAAATGCTCCAAACACTGAGGGAGTGGCTCTGATGCTGTCCAAACAAGCACGAAATGCATTTATAGGATGGGCATCTCACGGATCCATGATCATCAAAGCATCCTTCAAAACAAAGAAGGACGGAATCACAATGCATGTTATCCAATGTTATGCACACAACAATGATAGCAATGACGACAATAAAGATCAGTTCTACGAGAGGCTGCAATCGATCATAGCGAAGCGCCCAGGAAACCACCTGACCGTCCTAATGGGAGACCTAAACGCCAAAGTCGGAATGAACAACACCGGATATGAAGATATCATGGGATGACATGGACTGGGAGAAAGGAATGAGAACAGTGAGAGATTTGCAAGTCTGTGTGTATTCAACAAACTGGTTATAGGCTGCACAATGTCCTCACACAAATGCATACACAAAGCTACATGGGTCTCACTGGATCACACTGCAGAGAACCAGATCGTTCATATTTACATCAGTAAAAAATTCGTAATATCCATAGAAGACGTGAGAACCAGGAGAGGAGCTGACATATCTTCAGATCACCACCAACCGGTAGTTGCCGAGGTGAAACTGAAGCTTAAGAAGAATTGAACAACTGGAGAAACAGCATTACAAGGATTCAATACAATCTCCCCGCGAGATACTGACAAACCCAACCAATTCAAGATAGATCTCAGCAACAGATTCCAAGCCTTACGGAATCTACTCGAAGAACAGGAGGCTACTATACAGAACGACTGGAGAGGATTTAAAAAAGAACTAACTTCAACATGTCAAGAGGTTTAGGGTGGCAAGAAGTATCATCATAAGCAGTGGATCTCTATCAAAACCCTAGACGAGACTAAAGAACAGGAGAACAAGAGGACAGTAATTAAAAACAGCCGAACAAGAACACAGAGAGTCAAGACATGAGCTGAATAAATAGAAGTAAACAAGCAAGTGAAGAAGAGCACTATAGCTGACAAACAGAAATACGTGGAAGAACTAGCAGCAACACAGGAAGACCGAAGAAATCAGGATGGCCATCAGACATATCAAGAATGGGGAAGCAGCAGCACCTGACAACATACCGACCTGAGCACTGAAGTCAAAGATAGAAATAACTGCAGACATGCTCCACATCCTATTCAGGAATATTTGGGGGGGAGGAACAAGTGCCGCATGGAGGACAGCGGATAGACGCATTCCAAGTAAGGACCGGAGTCAGACAAGTCTGTTTACTCTCCCTCTTCTCTTTCTTCTGGTAGTTGACTGTCTTATGAAAACCTTCATGTCTGAAGGGAAGCACATAATACGACGGTCAGCTTGGAACCAGTTAGATGATTTGGACTTCGTAGATGGCCTGTCCCTTCTATCCCATACACACGAACAAATGAATATGAAGACAACTGAAGTAACAGTCCCTGCATCAGTAGGCTTTATTATACACGAGGGAAAAGGCAAGATCCTCAAATAAAACACGGCGAACACCAACACAATAACTATTGATGGAGAAACTCTAAAAGATGTGGAAACTTTCACGTACCTGGGTCGCAACATCATCGATAAACAAGGAGGATCGGATGAAGACGTAAAGGTCAGAATCAGCAAAGCAAGGGAAGCGTTTCTACAGTTGGAGAACATACGGAACCCATAACCGGATCTTCAATAAGAACGTCAAAACAATTCTAGTGTACGGAATTGAAACTTGGAAAACTACCACAACGATCGTCAAAGAAGTGTTTATAAACAATTATCTAAGCAAGATACTCAATGTCCGTTGACCGGATACCATCAGCAACAGCCTATTGTGGGGGAGAATAAATCAGCTTTTAGTTGAAGAGGGAATTAGGAAAAACCACTGCAAGTGGATAGGACATACATTGTAGAAATCATCAAACTGCAAGCCCAAACGTAGAATCTTGAAAGGAAACGGAAAAGAAAAAGACTAAAGAGCACACCGAGGCGAGAACTTAAAGCGGACATCAAAGGAATGAGTAGTAACTGGAAAGGATTACCCAGAACAGAGTTTAATGGGTAATGCTAGTGGTCGGCTTATGCTCCTCAATGAAAGGCAACAGGCGTAAGTAAGCAAGTATTAGTGTAAAAAATTATGATTTAGCTTTTACTAGATTCGGCGTCATTCATGATTGTTCAAGAAACTACCCAACCACCGGAATTAAATTTAAACAATCAATATTAAATAAAATAATGAATCCAGTTCACTAGAAATGAAGTCCTTATGAAGACTTAATATGCTCATTCTTATAAATTCTTTAGTCTAGATTTCTAATGATAGTCTACAAATATCTAACATATAAAATCAAAAGAAAAGCAATATAATTCACGTATTTCTGATTATTCTGTATTAGACGACTATAAATCGATCATAATATTATTTAACCTGGTAAAAGTAATTATAGAATCTATTTAAATTTCTGGAAATGTAGTTCAACTGTGATCACCAAATAAATATTAGCCTTTAATTCAAAAGTTTCATAAGCCTTCTTATTGAGGTAATTTATCAGTCCTTTCAGTGATATAACATACTGTATTGAAATTTTTTTGTCTAACTTTGACATCGTTTACTAAAACGCTGGGTGATGCATATTCAAATGTTAAATGGATAATATTTTAAAGATATAAATACAGTTGATCGCTATTATCTATCAGATTCAAAATCTTGACCCAAGGTTTTCTGTGTATTAATTGTAGATATCGAAAATTAAACTTACTGAGATTTCTTATTACCTCATATAACGGAAGCAACTAAATATCTAATCAGCAGATGTCTGTCTATATTAATAATAATGGTCACTCTCTAAGAATTAATTTTTTGATAGTAATTGAAGCTTAGGTATAAGAAGACCCAAATGTTTCTTCACCCATTCAGTTTTGTGTTAAACTGATGTATGAGTTGCAGGAAGACTAGCTAGAATATTTTTTCTATTAAACCTACGTAGAAATAATGTTACTTGGATGACACAAGGTTGATATATAAGATTAAATTGCAATTAAGCTAACTTAATAAATTTATAACTGGTATAATATTCAACCATTAGTATATAGAGTGCTATTTTAATTTCCATCACACACAATCCACTTTCTTCACTTTACTATAGTTGTTAATTTTGTTGTAGTCAACAAAGACCCTAAACCAGTGGCGATGGCGGTAAGTATGAGATATTAAAATAGAATTATCTTAATAAATAAGAAGAAATTTTAAAACAATTTTGATAATTGTTAAAAACAGAAATTGTTGACGTTTATTTGACTATATACTACACGTATATGACATTCCATCAACTGAAATTTGCACAGAATATCATTGATACAGGCCTAGCAAACACTATGTAAAAATGCTGATCTAACCATATTGATACTCTTCTCATCAAGTAGAACTGATAGATCGAAACAACTTACAACACTGGACAATACAAAATCAATAGATTAGAACAAAGTTTTCCAGTATCTTAACAATATCAACAAAACTTTGTAACCAATCAAACCAAACTATAAAGCATAGATGTGTACACAATATCATAAGGGCATTGTCGTCCTGAAACTAATAGCTAACATTTTACTGAGAGTTTTAAAATAACTACTTTAGTTTAATAATACACTTCAGAGTTATAATTTGTGACGTTCGTCTGAACTTTCTCAAAAGCTTGTTCCTTAAAGATATAGATCGATGTCAACGCTACAGATTAGGCTTATGGATATTATTTATTGGTCGGTAACTGATCATATTCATGTCGAGTTTTTCTTGGGAATAACATCATACTCCCTTTTTTACGATCATAAGTTTCATGATAAAAATAGTACACCTGAAAATCTTATCAACAGCTACCTATTGATGATGGTTTTAAAGTTATGTTTTGAAGTTGGGATTTCTGCTTATATTTGAGTTGCTTTTTATCATCTCTAATTGTTTGCCTTTGTGAATTGTATGGTTCTGGAATCAGACGTTCAAGAAATGCCTTAAAATATTTATAATCCTTTACAGTTTCTTTCAGTTTAGTGATTTCTGCATTGATTTGTGATTTGTGTATTGTCAACTGTTTAATTCTATCAACCATCATAGCACGTTTGCGAGACTCCTGTTCAGAGCTAAAAGAAAAAGGTATAAATACACGCACTACAAGCTGATTTATTTAAAAAATTATGGTACACAAGTAAATTCTTTTATATCTCTTCAGGAAACTAAGTATATTTGCAGAAAACCCATGGAGTTTTGAACAAGCCCCTAGTTCCACTAGACAAGATTTAATGTCAAAATCCTTTATATTAGCCACGTATGGACGTATTAGTTACAAACACTAGTTACTTTGATTACCTAACAGGTAAAGGCAGAAATAAAGGCACAAAGTGACTGTATTAGAAAATCATTCATTAAAAATGCATTCCTTAGCTTAAGTACTACCATCGCTAAGTGCTTTATTTGCCCCTTAAAAGTATCCGTCGGATACCATTAGTCTTCTGTTTATAAACATGAATAGGAATAACATTTCGCCTTTCTGATCAATGTCTTTGGAATTTAAAAATAAAATGTTTGTGAAAATTAGATCGGCAGAATTTATATCATAGCCGCATCTTCCCCAACTTTCACACCCTCCTTACTATGAAACGCTAAAAGAGAAAGAGGATTAGGGATAATATGAGTAAACCATATTTTATGAGTGGTTTTGGGCGGTATTGAACAATTTTTGGACAAAATTTCCAAAGAGATGAATTAAGGTTATTGGTTTTAGTAAAGCTTGAAATTTTCCAGCTTCATCCCACCTGAAGATGTGTATGCCACTGTTAAGAAGTCTCAAAGCTGGTAAAACACAGATATCTAGTGTTTTTTGACTGTCATAAGTGTTCTAGTAGATATTAGTATATAGTAAAAACACCATTTAAAATAATCAAATTTGCGTTGGGTCCAGATCTGAAATGTCCAGAATGTCGAAAAATACACCTTTACCAAAAAGCGTAAACTCGAAAAGTAGCTAGGAAAAGACCACTTTTAAGTACACATCCAAAGTTAATAATAGAAAGTCAGAGGGCAATGAAATTGATATCTATCGATAATATAAATCCGCACAATTAATTTACATAGTACTTTGCTCTGATAGTGCTACCGCACTAATTAAAATGCGGTGACTTTAATCACTCCACAATGACCGTTCATCACACAATAAAGTTAATTTAGAGTTGTGGAGGGAAATTAATTCTGTTTACTACTACATAATGTGGACGCAATTATGTCCCTTAAGGGTACACTGAAACAAAGGCTCCTAAATATCACCAACATAAAATATTTGAACTAACTTAGCCACTGCTTCCACGGAACTCTTGTCGTTTTCCTTGAGGAATTCGTCAAAAAGGGCCGCGTCTTGTTCCAAACATTGCTCTGCAAGCTCAAGCTTGAGATCTTCATGTGATGCCAATTCCTCCAGCCTTTTTAGCTCTGAGCGCTGTACTGCGATAAGGTACTCTAGAAAAAACATTTCTCTCCTATTAGCAATAAACTGGTCTCTAGTTTCTCTGTCAGTAAACTGCCCTTTAAATATTCGACAAAGACGTTTTAACGGAACATACTTTTTGTCTTCTGCAATATAAATGCCACATTATTGGCATCCGAGGTATTCGTTTCATTTACTGGTTTTAATTCATTCAGAATTGACCTTCTTGATTTTTTTTTCTTATGAAGTTGAATCTTTTGATAAACTTTCAACTTTGCAAGTTCTTTTGTCCTCTATTTAAATCATAAAAGATATTTGTTTATAAATGACAACCTTAAGTTTTTCTTCCTTTTTTGTATCTTTCAACTCAAATATATTTTCAAATTTCGGTAAAAGAAAGGGATTTGAAGTCATCTTGTTGTCGTAAAAACGTTTAACTCGGTTGCCATGACGGCCAACACTCCTTTAAAAGTTAAAACAAACCCACCGCAGTAATCGAACGGTATTTTTATCATTGATTCCAACGGACTGATCTACTTCTTCACTCTTGTTTATTTATGTTTCAGTATGGTTTTTGATCGTCAGTACCGTTCAGAGAGAGTGGTACAGCCAGTCAGCTTCTCCATTTCTGGTGAATTCGTCAGTTAACTAAGTATAAAAGGTTTTCCGAATATCAATAAATTCTTTTCGTTCTAGGCAAGGGGGTTGCTAAGACCACTGGATATTGTATTAGATGAGTAACCGGGTGGTTCAAATGGTTGTGGAAGGGGTAGGATATAGCGGTAAAGCTTTCGTTTAACCGCTTCCGTGTCTAGTAGCAGTGGATCACCAAAACCTCCAGGCAGGAACCCATGTATAATATCGATAAAAGAGGAAAACGAAGTTGGTAAATACTAGAAAAATACTATCCTTAGTCCATAAGAATATGTCCATTTTACTCTTAAAGGACTCCTGAGAAGTCTCTTGGACTAGCTCAGCCGGCAGTGAATTCCAGAATTCGACTACTCTTAAGGAGTAGACGTTGTGTCTACAATTTGTTCTGCTGTGTTGTGTCTGAAGTTTCTGAGTGATACCCCTTTGATTTGTGTTGGAGCTAAACTTAGGTAGGTGTAAAGGATTCTGTAAGCCATTAAGTCACCTCTAAGACATCTGTACTCTGATGAGTAAAGGTCTGGCGATCGAGGGCGCTCTTCATAAGGCTTGAATTTGAGTCCTGGAACGTGAAAGACTAAAAAGTAGTATATGGAACAGCAAAGCGAAGATAACTGTCAGAATAAGTAAATAAGCAGTCTATTTAAATAATGTGAAAACCAAAATTAAAGAATAACAAATAGACAGAGGTGATAAGTGCGTGAGTGAACAGATATTGGTTAGTCGCAATTTTGATATTAAAGACGACAAGAATAATAGCGAGAACGCAATAAACAGTTATAAGTAGTCATGTAGGTTTTTGACGTTGATGCTGACTCCATCAATTTATTGAACACCCTCCTGGCTGAAGAAGCTGTTTTAATTATCTTGACCAGACCACGTTCACTTACATCACGCTGTTCATTTCTTACGACAACCAATCGATTCTGATTGAACACAAATTGAACATCATCAAATGTCCAAATATCCTTGACTTTTGGTTTGCATGTTTTCGGGATTAGCTTAGTAGAATGGGTTTCGCACGACAGTGTTGATGAGCGCTATTTATTCGTGATGTCTTTTACAGTAGGTCAACAGTTTAGGATGGACTACGTAAGACCATGGATGACTACATGGTTATCAAGTTCCCTCTTATAGCTACCCTATAGTGGAGATATGGTCACGTCTGCTAGTAGAAATTCTTCATTGGGGTACGTTTTAATAACGAAAGTGCGATTGTACTTATGCATCAGCAACGTGATGTTCAAGCCAATGATGGTTGTCATATGTAGTGGGACACTGAGATTCGGGCAGCATGTTTTTATTCAAAGAGAGTTTATTACGTTGCAAACCTTTATAGGTGTAACGACCAAAACTCTAGTATTTGGTGTGAATGTATGGCCGACGAATCAAAGTTTATTTGACTAGACCAAGCCACATTCTCCTGTACAGCGCAGGAAGAGTTCTTGAGTGGCCGGTATCAAATTATATTTAAACACAAACTCAGCGCTTGGTTAAAACGGTTCCAGTTTAAAAAATCAAACAAAATGTGTCAAAAGTACAAAATACCTTAAACGGCACAGCCTGTGCTATGCATTCAAAACTTTCTTCAGCAAAAAACATCGCGCTAAACAGCAAAAGGGAAGGTTGTTATGCAATTATCCGGTACCTGAGAATTAACAAGAGTATTATCAACAGGATAGGATCAAACAACTATATGCAAATATTCGAGCAAACGTTCCCAGGAGATTGTTAAGAATCAACAACCATCAAGTAAGCTACTCCATAGCTTTGAGCATAGTCGAAAACGACCCTGTGGCCAGTGACCTGGCAACACGCGACAGTAAATTCAAGTAATAAAGGTAAATCTGTAAACAACGTCGAGACAAAGAGAGTTGAAATACATAAAGTGAGGCTACAAGAGACATGAGTTACACTTGAAATCCTAGATAAAGGAAAGGAATGATGAACTGACAACAAAACACTTCAGAAAAAATTTCGGCGCACTCTTCCAGTTGCAATAAGGTTGCTCTACATATATCTCTGCAATTTAGCAAGAACATTCTTGGATTAATAAAATCAGTTTTCATATGTTTCTCACCTTAATTCTGTGACACGCTTCGCGACACTCCTTTGCACTTGAGACGACAACTTGTCACTTTCGGGGAGGACGGTAAAATAATGCTGATGTTTTCTGATTCCGGGAGATGTGAGGCTCGAATGGTGTTAGACAGAGATGTTAAGTCAACACACCTAAGTGCCCTCGGACTGGTTAAGAGTTCAGTAGGATTTGGCTGTATCTCCCTGTTAGTTGTTACTAGTGTCTGGACTGTCTTTTAATAATTTCCCCAAATCGCGCTCCATTGAGTTTTCGAGTAGGGCAGGATCTCTGAGGGGATAGCGAGTCCAAATCTTCTCTATAACTCAGAACCACATCAGATGAAACTTTTGCAAGGTGAAAGATTAACTTTTCTTGTCCGTCTATTTTTCCAATAGTTTATGCTCTCTTAGGAGCTTGTATCAATTATTTTCTACACACTTGAATATCACACGTGTACAGATAAACTAAAACATTGAGATTCACGAGTAACTGCTTAGAGTCTAAACAATGTTAAAGTAGGTCATTTTATTGAACTCAAAATACTTTGGAACATTTCGATGATACTAATGAGTAAATCATCACAATCATGTGACTTGCTAGGCTTAACTTTCATTACCTCCAATAAAAGCTCTGGTGGGACCTGTAAAATGCTCTCCGCTGTTGTCGCCGTTGAGATATCAGTTTGACCGCTGACCTTGTATATAATTTGGCAGCATGTCAAAATGCGTGTTGATAGCTTCGATAATTTCAAGTCTGACGGAGGTTTTTGCTTAAATCCTTTGGTTAATAATGATTTCTCTTTGGGACGTAAATTGACATAAATGCTACCAATCCGACTACCGTTTGAGAGCCAGTACTACTCCTCCGTACCTCTACTTTTCTTCTGTTTGCAAATGGTATATACCGGTTGTAGATAGAGTCTTGCGGTCGGTTCACCATCTGTTCCAAGTACGCCTTTGAACTTCTGACCATCTACCAACGAATCCTTCTATTCAGAATGCTTTCCCACATGAAGTTCGCAAGAGCTGTTGGACATTTTTCCATTATAGATTCGTAAATGATGGCTTTTACAGTGTCTCGTCCGTTTCTCATTTCGGAGATCATGTTGAAAAGGTCCTCTAATGTCCAGAAAGTCTGCTGAATTAGATTAGGAGTGTGGACTTATGGTCCAATCGGGTATTGGCACATTCGTCTTTGTTGCTATAGACTTAATCTCAAAATTGTAGATATGTCATGGTATGACCACTGAATTTATAAGATCTTAATTGGAAATCACAATATAGTCTACAACGACTTGTCCTATTATGACAATCAGCAATATAACGTCTGACACTTCTGAAAGACACACTTAGATTGTGTAAAGAGTAATATATTCAATATTAAAATAAGAAATTGCATGCGGTGACCGTGCCTACATGGCTGAACGACGTCATTACGATTAAGTCCTCACCCGTTCACCATCTATGGTCTCTAAATGCTAAATGCTGAGTGTAATTCTTCTCAGTAATTATATGCTCAGCTTCAAAAATCTCGTAGTTAGAAACCAAGCACAGTTGACCCCACTCTCTGGCGGGGTTATGCTAAATATCATGTCGGATTTCATTGCACCATAGTTGCTGCTGCCTCTTAGGGCGTGAAAATGAACTTTTCCGACTAAAATCCTCTCAGCCGATATGAAGTTGTTTATTATAAACAGTTACTCATTCATTTTTTATATTTGCATGTCTTCTATGTTCCATTAGTAGCGTGCCCATGACAGCGGTCAGTGTGTGACTTATCTTGTGTGTGGTCAAGAGAGTGAGTTGTTGGAGTCCACTGCTATGAACCACTGAATAAATATAATCTTTTTAAAAACGATGGCACTTAGGGTATCTGGGTTTTTGTGTTTGTTGTCTTCTGTGGGAGGGTGACATATTCCTGTGATTAGACAGTATCGTCAATGCAAGTGACGTCGAACCACTTTATGTCAGTCATCGTACGATTATTCAGTGGAAAGCCTAGAGGTGACTGCTCTTGTATACTGCCACCCCGCCCTCTTCTGCGCTACCTGTCACATATGAAGAACTTTATCTTTTGCATGCTAACTTCCCTATCTGTGATAGCAAGGGAGAACCAGGTTTTATTTAAGAACATGATCTTCAGTTCTGGCGGGAGACACATGTTCCAGTGGTTCCCCATTTTAGTTTTGGTAACTCTTATTCTCCTGTTATGACATTTAATGGTTTCCTGTATTGCATGCTACTCCCTTGTGCCAAAATCCATTTGCAGGTTCATAGGTAGAACGTAGTCTAGAATGATTTGACACATTTCGACGTGTATGACAACGCGAAATTTCTATATCATTGCTTAGAATTTTGTCTTTAAGTTTTCGTGACTGTCGATGTTTCTTCCTATTATCGGATGCAAGGTTGTTGTCCTTTAGTAACTTCAGTGGTAGTGATTAATTAAATATAGATCCTATTTACTTAGTGCATGTACTGTCAACTGATCTCATTAATAAAAGCGGTGAATAAAACTTTTCGAAGAATAATATGACGGTCTATTGCTCCCTCACTATGGGAAAAGTATAGAATCCTCAGACAACATATGATTCATAATGCTGTCGTTTCGCGTAATAGTTAAATAAAACGGAAGTTCATGACTAGCAATTCGGATAACTGTAGAACTCGTATAATGTTTTTCGAGGATAAAGTGACTTTCGTTCTTCATTAGTATGATGGGCAGATTAAATAACAA